AATAACACTAAAGACTCTGAATATTAACAAATATTAAAACAACAGTGATCACATAGAAACACAGAGGAGGCTTCTCAGTTTGTTCTCTGCTGGTTTGGACGAATTATTGTGAAAAATGTGGTTTTAGTTTGACTTAATAAAAGGGACGTTACAGGAGTGTTTTGTACTTAAGCCCGCGTGTGAACGTACTCGGACTCGGTTGATGCCGCCGTAGTGAGGCGTCATGGCCAGCTCCATCTGGGGCTTCTTATCTGCATCCTCCTCGTCTTCGTCGCTCTCCTCGTCGCTGCTCTCGTCCTCCTCCTTGTCTTTCTCCGTTCCGTGGAGGTTGTGCATCCGCATGACCAGGAGTCTGAAAGCGAGTAAATGTTTGATCTTAATTAGAGCCGGGAGCCTGTGATCCGGCTTCACGAGCAGAGTTCAGACCATTTAAGGCTCCGTCTGAAGGGATATTTTTAGTGTCCGACATCAGAACAAAACAGAAAGTGTGAAGCAAAAGTAAGAAAAACAGCCGGCTGCACTGGGAGTCTACAGAGCAATGTGCTGCTTCATTTGTTTGGTTTGTGATTTTTATCCACCAAAAACAACACGCTCAGAAAACAATACGGACTGCCAGAGATAAACTGAATGTGGAGATTAATTGTTCTTATTCTTGTAAATGCCCTAAAATTAGAATATAAATCAAGAAGTCTCACATGGGAGTAGAATAAAGTAGAGAACAGAGTTCATAGTTGATCAGCTGTTTGGGCTCGAAAATGTCAAAAAATGAAAAAAAAAAAAAAGTGGGTCATCCATCATCTCTCCACCTTAATCCTCACCAGGGTCATGGGGGGCAGCCTATCCCAGCTGACTCAGGGTGAAGGCAGGTTCACCTGGACAGGTAACCAGTCTATCACAGGGCTACACTTAGAGACAGACAACCAAGCACACTCACATTCACACCTACGGACAATTTACAATCACCAATTAACCTCAGCATGTTTCTGGACTGTGGGAGGAAGCCGGAGAACCCGGAGAGAACCCACGCTGCACGGGGAGAACATGGAGACTCCACGCAGGAAGATCCCGGGTGTCCTCACTGGGACGTGAACCGGCGACCTTCTGGCTGTGAGGCCACGGCGCTAACCACCGAGACACCTGCAGCAGATGTGCATCAGAGTTTCCCAAAGTCCCAGATAGCAGACGATGACGTTCATGTGGAACTCAGCCCAGAACGTCACGCTTTGTATTTATTTAGTCTCACATTAAAACCAGATCTCTGAACCGGACCAAGGACCTGAGGCGTTCAGGTCCCGGCCAGCTTGGTGCTGCTGATGTTCCGTACCTGTTCTTCAGAGCCGTGTCCGCCTGGGTTCCTGCCACCAGCAGCATGGACAGAGGGAACTGTTCCCTGCCGGACCCGTCTGCATCTGTCAGGACGTCGAAGCTCAGACACGGAGCACCTGAACGGAGAGAACAAATCACACCTTCAGGTTTCATTCTGAGAAAGTTCTGCAAAGCTCCACTGATGTTGTCAGCCAGAAGGTGTCTTTAAGTTCAAGGTGGGATAACTAGACATGTTCTAGAAATGTTCTCAAATTATTCTCAAAGTTCTCCTGTTATCAGGTAAACACTGTAGGAACGTTCTATAGGTTCTAGAACGTGTTCCCTCAACGTCCTCAGAACATCACAGGCAGAACGTTCCACCTCTGATAACACATCTCCATATATGAAGAACGTTCTGTCATCTGGAAAGGTTTCCTGAATGTTTCATTGAGAACCTCCTTCCTTTGTTTTTGTAGAAGAACGTTCTACAATGTGTTCCCTCAACAAAAAGGACCAACGTTCCACCTTCACTACATCACATTACAGGAACTTCATGAAACGTTCTATTTAAAACAAACAACAACATTCCTGTCACCTGAGATCTTGATAACATCTAAAGAACCTTTTCCACATGTTGGTTTGAGAACGTTCCTGTTTCGTTATCATGGAATATCGTGAGTTCCTCCTTTGTTACACAGGAACGTTCTATAACATGGTTCCCACTTGATGACTCGTAAAAAATGTTCTGTTATCCGAGGTCTCGACAACATCTTGAGAACGTTTTCAGGAGTGTTGGTTTGTTATCGTGGAACGTTGTGGGAACGTTTTATAGATTCTACAACGTGTTCCATCAACAATGTCCTCAGAACATCGCAGGCAGAACGTTCCACCTTTGCTCATATATCACGATACAGGAACGTTTATAAGAAATCATCGAAGGCCTCGATAAGATCAGGAAAAGATTGTATGAATGTTGGTTTGGAAACGTTCCTCCTTCGTACAACATCTGACAACATCCTCTTAACGTTGACATTAGAACGTTACGTTTACTTTGCAGGAACATCAGTGGAAATTAGAATATTCTTCAATAGTTTCTTAAACATTTTATTGAAACTTTTTTTGTTGTTGTTTTTTTTTAAATCATTAGAACTTACAGGTGACGTCAGTGAACGTTGTGGGAACCTTTATCTGAATGTTGACATTACTGAAACATTACTTTACCTTTATAGGAACAAAGCTGGAAATGAAAACATTGTTAGAAAGTTAGTTAAACATTGATTTAAACATTTTCTTCATAAAACTACTAGTTGTGGGAATGTTACATTATTTTAACTTTATAGGAACATGACTGGAATTCCAATATTCCTAGAAGGTTCCTTAAACATTTAATTAAACATTTCTTTATAAAACCCTTAGAACCTGTAGGTGACGTTAGTGAACGTTGTGGGAACCTTTACCTGAATTATAATAATTTTATAGGAACATTACTGAAAACAAAAATGTTCTTAGCAGGTTAGTTAAGTATTCGATTTAAAGGTTTTCTTTAAAAAAGCTTTTAGAACTTGCAGGTGAAGTTAGTGAACGTTGTGGGAACCTTCATCTGAGTGATGACCTTAATAAAATAGCAATTTCACAGGAACATTGGTGGAAACTAGAATATAATTTAAAGGTTATTTAAACACTAGATTGAAACATTTCTCTATAAACCACCACATCTCACAGGTGAAGCTGAGGGAACTTTATCTGCATTATAACATCAGAACATTAACTTTACAGGAACATTACTGGACAGTAAAACATATTAATTTTACAGGAACATCAGTGGTTCTTAGAACATTCTTTAAAGGTTATTTAAACATCTCTCTAGAAAACCTCTACATCTTGCAGGTGATGTTAGTGGAAGTAGTGGGAACCTTTATCTGAATGATGAAATAATAAATACTTTATATTAACTTTACAGGAACATTATAGACAATTAAATATTCTTTAAAGGTTATTTAAACATGTCTGTAGAGAACCTCTACATCTTGCAGGTGATGTTCGTGAATGCTGTGGGAACCTTTAGCTGAATGTTGACATTATTAAAACGTTGTAATGTTTTCTAGGACCATTATTAGACATTGAAGCATTCTTTAAAGGTTATTTAAACATCTGATTTAAACATCTCTCTATAAAACCCGCCACGTCTTGCAGGTAGGGTTAGTGAACGTTTATCTGAATGTTGACATGAGAACATTAACTTTACAGAAGCATTAATAGATATTAAAACATAATAATTTTACAGGAAAACTATAGACACACATATATAAACGTTATTCTCTCTCTACAGCCACCACATCTTGGTGGTGATGTTATTTAAAGTTGGGGAACCAGCGGGGAACTCGCCTGTCTGACACTCGTGGTACATGCGGTACGCGGACCGGTCCATCTCCAGCTCCTCGCCGGGCTGCAGCGGCTCCATGCCGGGCACGTACACCCTCCTGTCGACCTCCTCTTCCCCCTCCATCTCCTCTCCTCCGTCCTCGTCGCTGCCCGCCGCGTCCATCGCCTCCTCTTCTTCGGCAAGCGTGCGCATCTCGGGCGCAGACATCTTGCTTCTCGCTCGGCCTGGCTACTTCCGGCCACGTGGTTCCAGCGCGCTCCCTCCCCCTGCCGTCTCCCCCTCGCTCCCTGCTCTATCCCCCCGTTTACGGGAATCCAGCTGGCCCCTCCGGCTGCTGCTGCCAGGAAACATCTCACATACAAATATTTGTCAAACTTAACATTAATGTTAATATGCGGGGAGTTCTGCGCATGCTCGGTGCCTCCTGCAGCCCCTTACATGTAATTAACCAAATGTGATTGATCATTTGTGCTCACGTGGAGGCAGGGCAGGAGCCCCCACTGAGTCATGCATGTGTGTTAATGGTACCGCCTGGCGCTGACCCCGCAGGTCCACACATGGACACTCGGCTCGGTCCATAAAACGGCGCAGCTCAGAAGAAAAACACTCCCCAGTCTGTGCAAAAATCCACCCCATCCTTCCAAACCATGACATAAATCCAGTTGTTCCCGTGGTGACCACGGCAGCACACATCTGCATCTGACTGATTATGAAACTGGGCCCTGGGAGGACAATGGTGCACATTACAGGCGTGGGCGTGAGCAAGTAGAGGCAAGTGCCAGCGCCAAACGGTGCACTTCTGTTCCTCCTGTGGATCCTGACAGAAGTCGGAACATCTCCGGAGCCCTTCCCATCCACAGCACATTCCTGCCTCATCTGCAACTTATCTTTGTTTTTTTCTCGTTTTGTTGATTTAAAAAAAAATCTGAGTTACAAAATAGTTGAAAAGAGTCTTTGAAAGAGTCGAGTTCACACAAATCCAGACTCTTACTGCTGGAATGCAAGATGATAAACAAAGCGTAAACTCTTCGAGGAGAGTGGACAAAGCTGGGAACAAGAGGGAGCAGTGTGAGCGTTGGTAGAAATGGGAAAAACCACGCTGCTGACTTACAGACAGAGCTGTGCAAGTGGTAAAATGTGCATAAACTTCTAAAAGTAGAGGAAAATGTGTTTGCTTTGCTGTTGTGAGGCTGTAACATCCGGTTAGTGTCACGAATAAAGTAAAGTTTCTGACCTCAGAAGCCTCATAATGCATTTATCTGTCTGCAAAGCTGACCGCTGTGGGGAGAATAGTTCTGTCAACATCGCACATTTTCTCAACTACATCTAAACTACAGTGTGCTCTTTAATACCAGTCACACTGTGCTGCTTTTCTAGCCTGTGTTTGTATATTTATTTACTGTTATGGTTCTAATTTGGAACAGCATTTTGTTTTTTGAAGTTTGCTCACTAACCGCACCGCAACTTCCAGCGAGTTGAACCACAAACTAACAATGCAAATATATCTAAATGTCTTTAATTTACATTTATGTACAAAACCCATAGACTGTACCATCTTACATTTACACAACATTCATTGTAAACAGTGATGAAATCCACGTTGACGCTGGCTTATGTGCACGTAGCTCGACATTGATCTGTGGTTAGCATGAGGAGCTGCTGCAGCTCCGCACGGAGAATATACTGGAGATTACATCTGTGATATCAGCTGTTACTGCTGGACGGTGAGCTTTAGCAGTTTGGACTAACTTTGGACGTTAAATGCAACCTGTGCATGTGACTTCATATGAACAAAGCTTCCTGCATTAAAACACAAAACACACGCACACACACACACACACACACACACACAAACAATCATTCAGTGCCAGGAAACGTCTTGCATTTTGTGTGCATCATCCATAAAAGATCCTTTAGGGCAGCAGCCACCAGTAGAGTCTGAATATCAGGGGGCTCCAGGCGGAAGCAGAAACAGACAGAGGGCCGCCGCTGCTCGGCGGCTGGGAAACGTCCACCATCTTTCTCGGCTGTCCTTCCTCCTCCTCCTCCTCCTCCTCGCCGCCCACAGCTCGGGTGGTCAAGAGTCTGGCCCTGGACGGACCGAAGTCCTTCCTCTCCACCGAGGGTGGCAATGTGGGCAGCGAGCAGGTCTCAACAGAAGGCGAGCATCCGACCTCGAGCCATCGAGTCAAAAGTTCTGACGTTAGCTTCAGGAGCTCCTCGGGAGAGGAGGACGACGTGGAGAACTGGGCCAGGTCCGTCTCCTCCTGGAACCTCTGAGGGCCGAGAAACGAGGATTTACAGGTCAACAAACAAAACGTCAGACAATCAGAAACAGCAGGCGAGACGTGTCGTCTGAAAGAGCTCCCCACCTCCGTGTTCCTGTTCCTTATAATAATTTTATCCAGTGTCTGCTTCAGATCGAGGATTAAGGAGTGATTCAGGTGCTCGTCCCAGAGGTTCCTGAGCAGCACATGCCAGGAATCCAGGAGGACTACTGCAGCAGGGAACACGCAGCACTGCAGGGAGAAGGTTCGTCAGAGCCAGCAGATCGCCACAAGAACCACATCAATTACTCAGTGACAAACAAGCCTGTTATGAAACTCCAGCGGATCTGTCTGAACACGAGGTTAATGTTCAAAGACGAGCAGAAAACTTTGAAAACCTCACGACTTGCACTATGAATCTGACAAGAAACTCACCGGATCAGTGTCACAGAGCATGCTTCTGTTGTACCGGTGCACCACATAGTAATCTTTAGGAAACACTGTCCGCTGCAGGAGGAAGAAAAAAGGAGAATAAACCCTCAGAAGACTCACATTTATACAAGAAACACATAAAACAGTTCATCATTTATGGAGAAGAGCTGACGGCGTTTGGTAACTTTGCAGAAGAGCTGGTTGTGTGAGTAAAATCTGCTTTTTCAAGGCCAAGGAGACACTCGGGAGTCAGAAGAGTTGGACTTACAAACCCGGTCGGATTCGAGTCGATGGTCGCCTTAATGTTTTTCACACTTTCCTTGTCAAACTCACATCCACCACACTGGACAGTCAAAAGCGATAGCAGCAGCACGACTGTTGGAGAGAGAGAAGCAACAGATAATTGCTGGAAACTTTCTGTGGTTTCGTAGCTTGTTCAAACCGCATACCTCCTAAAAAACATCATTTCCTGCGTCAATTAGCCATTTGTGCAGAAAACAACAAGTCATATGTTGTTCTGCTCTGTCCTGCTGCTGCACCTCTCATTGAATCCCAGTGAAATCAGCTGTAAAGCAGCAGTTGTGCTGATCCTGTGTCTGGAGGGAAAGTTGCTCACCTGGCAGTGACATCCTTTTATCTTTCTAAGAACGGACACTTCTCCATTTCTCTTGTTGACAGCAAACACTGTGCAGACGTCTTTCTGTGTCAGGCTGTAAAGTTTCCTCCTTCACTGCTGCATGTTGACAGTCCTCCTGTTTGGGCTCCTTTGGTACTTTCCACAAACACAAGAAGAAAGAAAGAAAGAAAGAAAAAAGAAAAAGCCCCTTGTATCATGTCACGCCATCTCTCCCACTTTGGGTTTTCCCGGTGGCTGCAGCCCGTCTCCCCTCGCCTTGCTCCCTCCTGACCTAGAATCCTGCAGCCCGGTTTGCGGGCCTGCTGAGCCCTGGAGCTGTCGGCGGTAACGCGGCGGCGGCGGCGGCGGCGGCGGACGGTGGCCTCCTCCTCGCGCAGACAGCCTCGGCTCAAAGTGAAAGTGCTCGCGCTTGGTTGCTTGTCTGCTCCCTTTAAGTCTCGGCCCCTCCCACCGCCGCCGCTGCACGCTTTACCTCACTACGGCCTGACCCGGCCCCC